GTTTCCTTTATGAAAATATACTTCGATATCTCGAATATCGTGCCAACTGAATCATGAGGCGGCCTGTGTGCATCACATTCAGCTGGAGAACATCATAAACGAGAGATTCAATTGAGTCTCCCGTGAAAACCAAATTGATTTGCAGATGAGTGATTAAACGTGCTTTTTCCGGATCAGGGCAAGGCATTCTTGAAAGACCTTCGGAAGACCAATAGTTGAACACATTTATGTTTTAAAAAGCAATTTCATCCTGCCAATCAAGCTGATCTCAACTGGAAAGCTGGGAAACACTGTACAGCGTCAGTAGTGCGCATCTCAGGTAGTTTTGAATCTTTGACATTCCAGCCAGTGGTTTAACCCCCAACCGTTTGGTTACGAGTAGCTTTTCAGCGTAGACTGTCTTTACTGGTAGTTGATCAGGTGGCTGTTGATCTGTTCGCCGAGCTTAGCAATTGGCTCGCAAACGTTTCGTCCCCAGTCGAGGAGACATCATCAGTGCGCGGTTGAATGGGTGCTTCCTCCTCCTCAGCTTAAGAACACGATGAGTCCGGCGACAGTCGCGGCACTTGTTTCTCCACGTGCTGCCTAACAGACTAACATGAGAAGAATATGCTTTGCTCACTCTGATCTGTTCGGGTGATCATCTCTTGACGGCGACAATTTTGCGCACTCTGAAGCAAAAAGATGAAATCAGAAGCAAAAACAACAATCGTGATAATAATATCGCGGAAACAACGGAACTTGACAAGGAATTTTAGGCACCACTCTTATGTTTGGCAAACTTTATTGTTCGCTTTGTGGATATCATCTTGAGAAAAAAGCTACCCGCAACGTTGCTGAAGACTCTTTTACAATCCATGACCAGTTTTGTCCTACTTGGGGCTTATCGTATGAGCACAGTCCCCTAGTTTCCATCAACCTTATGTACTACTTGGACTACAAATGTATGAAATTGGCGAACTACTCTCATTTGCACACGGGATATCCACTTAATCCTGGTTGGATTTCTCGTTTGTGCTATTCTGTGATACATATGTACAAATTTTAGGCAGATTTAGAATAAGGCGCTGATTTTCACCGGCTTTTGGACAAGTATCTTTGTATTTTTTCATACTGATTCACTTCTGAGAGCGCCATCTCCACGCCTTGAAATGGTTTCTTCCTTCTTAAGCGTAGGAACATATTGCTAGCTTAGGAAAGCACTTCCCGGATGATTTAGGGAATCCTTCGGGGTGTTTACTCATGATGGCTACTCATTTTTCAGTCGCTTGGTTAAGCTCTGATATAGTGACGAAAGTGCGATGTTCCTGGAATCTGTCATTGACTTTGGTATGTGCAATCTCTCGTTGCCGAGGTGTCCCATTGTTGTTACACATCTGCGACTGTGATTACAACAATGAAGGTGTAAGGCGGAATTCCACATGGATCGCGCTTTACCGTTCGCAGTCAGGTGTTGCTACGGCCGAGCAACTCATCCCGCGCAAGATTGGCCAAAAGTTCGGGACGCTTACCGGTCCGGCATCAAGACGAGATCTGATTGGTCGAAAGTCTGGGCCCAACAGTATTGGCCTAATGCCGGTTGCCAATGCCGCGTTCAGAACGCATCAGAATTTCCAGAAAGTTATTGCCACCTACGCTATACATACGAAGTGCTGTGCAAGTGTTCTCATCTTCGTTTAGGGCGTTAATGAGACTTGTGCACTTTTGGTGGTTGTTTTTGACGTGAACGCTAGCTTGGAAGGCTCATAATGAGGAAAATACCGTTACTACAGAAGGTCAGCCTATGTTCAGTCTGGTCCCGCATGCACGAAGTGTTTTTTCTATTGGCACGAGGACAACAGTTACTGAACAGCTAACGTGCATTCAAAGACGTCGTTTCTTGTAAAATTACCAACTAGTATTCCGTAAATTCGGGAATATCATACTTGTTTAGGAAACACCAAGAAACGGATCTCCCAAGAGATTCATTGTTTGTGCACTGCTGTTGGGTTCTGACAAGCTCCAAGCAGCATTGCACATAGGTTTTCTCAACAAAAGACTGTTTCAATAGTGAGGTGAAATTTCCTCAGTGTTGACAAATTATGCGTAGTCGATTCAAGCTACTGCTTGTTTGAACCGTGCAATAAACTACTTTTCCGTGGTACTTCAGATTTGACTGGACGTAACACACTACTCGTAATGTTGCTGAAAACTCCTTCAAAGCCCACAATCAGCATCAATCACCCTTCTTTGAGCTCATCACGTGAGCGCATTCCCCAAGCGTCTGCTAACCTCGTTTTGTACTTTGGACTGTTTACTGTTCAGACAATTTAACTTGTTGACTAAGTGGACTCGGTAGGGAAATTTGTACAAACCGATGAAATAATTCACTCTAAGATAAATCCTTGCGAAATGAAGATCATCGAGTTGGAGCGTCTACCCGTTACCCACTCCTTGTGATGCGGTAGAAGGGGAGAGTAATCCCGTACCGTTGGAGAAATCAGTAGATTTCTGGCAACCGAGAAAGTTGACTAGGTCTCAAATGGCGTCTTAGGGCATCTAGACTGTTACTGAGTACTTTTTGGTTACTCCTGATGCCAGTTGCCAGATGCCGATGTGCTGTGGAACCACCAACTGAAATCCCGTATGACGTTGCCGCAAAATGCGACGTGAGTCAGCAAAGACCCTAGAAGCGATAAAATAAGCCAATTTGTGTGGGATGACACTATTTTGTATCCTATTATCAACCCTCGTGTGTGTGCCACATAAGCAACGGATAAACGAACTTACTAGAAATCCAGAATTCAAGTTCCAGCAGGAAGACATGTACGGCGATCACGTGGACTGGCGTCGGCACTACGAATGATTCTTGCACTAAATCACGTGGCCACCCAAGCTTCAAGATGATATTTCAAATGATATTTCGGACTTGATGCAACGTCTTGGAAAGATGAAGACCTATCGACCTGGTGGCCGTAGTTGGTGAACAAAAAGCACGGCTCGTGCTAAAAATAGGATGATATTGATTAGGTTGGATGGAACTGTCTGGTACGTTCTTGTATCCGTGCCTCAAAGATCCTTCACCGTAACCTCAGACGATGGTGTTGAAGATCATAAATTAGTAGTGTTACTTCGGAAGGAGGGCTGTATGCGATTAATTTTAGCAACTTTAGGTTGCCCGGGGACCACTCCTATCTCTCCCCAGGAGCACTTATTTCCCCAGGTACTTTGTTTAAGAAGATATCACGTTCCTGTTTGTTGGTCCTTGCATGAACTCACCTCACAGGGGAATACCCGACAACCGGATTCTGCACATGACCTCTCCAGAAAGAAGGACCATATTAGGCGGATAGATGTTAACTTGAAGAAACTGGTAAACGAAGACGGCACACATATTCAAATCGGATCATCCTTTATTTAGGCATTATGATATCCCGTTGGAAACGGCCTTTGGAAAGTTATGGCGTAATTCCATGCGCCGAAATTTTGAAGACTAGTCTTTTTAAAACTAAGGTGGTTAGATTCCCGAGACTGTGTGTGTGTGTGTGGAGAGAGTTTCGAGGATCGATACTACTTCGATAGAGTTCCATTACCCACTGGTTCGACCTGAAAGCCTTACTCTTCTCAAGAGTTTACCCACTACCAACTCATTCGTCTGTAAATAGAGGATTTCTTCCCATGAATAGTATCCTCAGCCAACGTAAACGGTAGCATTTAAGAGAATCGTTCAGAGTGATAGCGATGACGACAGGGGGAGACCGGGGAGGCCACTAGACCACGTGTCCAGTGGTCAGGAGCATGATGGATGACCTTCATACGCTGAAAACTCACGTTCAACCGTATGGATTATTCTCTATTATTTCGGTCCGTTCGTATATCGTTTTGGTCCTTTTTTCCGGACTTATAGAACACTAGTTCATCGTTGCTTGGAAGAGAGGAGTGCTTTTTCCTATGTTGAAGATATTCGTGCGAAAAATTTACCGAACGAAGCACTGATGTCTCGTGAAAGTGACTGTACCAGCAAGCTAGACTTTCACACACACACACACACACACAATCTCTGTCTAGTTTTTGTTTTTGTTCCCTATGGTAACCCTTCCTTTCTTGGAATTATTTTATTGAATACTCAAAGCATCGCTAAACGAGATGCAATTTTTTGTCCGTTTATTATCAAACATGGTGATTTGCACGTAAACGCTTACCGATACGGTGAGTAAAAGGTTCTTCTATCCCTCATGGATGGCCTTGGTCGGCGATATCAACCGGGAAAGGTCTTGGTGCTGCGCTAGTACAGTACAAATAACGTTAAAACGTAATCGAATTCTGGTCTTTATGGACCATTAAAATCCAAAACTGAACGAAAGCTACTGTTGAAAGCATTGTTGTCACACACAGACAAGAATCGTCATTTTAAAGGACACTTCGCAGGACTTCCAAGTCCTGACGACGTCAAAATGTCTTTCATCCTGGAAGCCGTCGTTAACGGCCGTCGTCCCAAAAGATGGAACGACCAGAATTGCTTCTCTACAAACAGCTGTCCAGTCCACAAAATCGCATAGCACCTGAAGGAAATGTTGTGTTGAAGCCTTATAGACGAAGTGTGATTTCTCGTTTCGACCCACACCGTGAATGTGTTAGGAACTTCGAACATTTGAAAGCGGTTAGATGTACATCCGAACGTTTCAGAATCTTCGTTAAGGAACCGCTGGGAACCAAACTACTTCAATCTGGATTTGAAGATGGCCGTAGCAATCTAGCGATTGACATTCCTCCGGTGACTCTGGCAGTGTCAGTCGCGAATCACTTTGGCCAAACTATTTTCACTCTCCATGGTATTATCTATAAGCACACTGAGATTCCCCAAGATGATCTCAGTTAGCCAGATAGCCCATCCAGGTGTTATCCAGAGCCAGAACAGAGAAGTCGCTTTAATTTCACGCTTTGTGTGCAGCTGGCATTGTGGTACACATCAATATCTGGTAACTCAAGAACACCTGCTAAATTAGCTGTCTTAAGATGGCCATATCTGGTCATAATCCACTCAACCAGTGGTAGCAACTTGTGGTTACTACCAGGCATTCTAATCGTCTGATAGAGCTCTCAACTACTTTTTAACTTGTTGAAAAAGACCTGTAAATATTGAACGGTTTGTGACCACCATGTTTGGGTGTACCTACTGTCTGCGCTCTGTTTGGTTTATTCTCACGAAAAACTGCATCTGATTGTGGGAAGAAACCGAGAAAAGTAAAGTAGGCCAATCTTTGTTATTTTTTAGACTCTAGCTAGGTTTCTACAGTGCCATGAGGACCCGGTTTGTGACTTTTACCAGTAAGCTAACGCGCGGTGAATCGTCAAATGTACGTTTACCTGTTACTCTGTAGTAGCCTTTAAAGAAATTGTTCGTTTACATGGGTAATGTATGATCCACAAGTCCAGCGCTTGACAAACATAATCGCCAAATCGGTTCTGTATTCGAGAAATACACTCATTTGCAAATCAATTTGGTTCTCACGAGAGACTCAACTGAA